AACTTAAGAACCGCAACCATAAACTCATGTCTTCAGAACTTACTATGTAACGAAGTAGACCTTCACATATCTCTACCCATTTAATGGCATTAAAAATTGGATGAAATGTGGGTAGAAAAAATGCCCTTTCAAGCTCGATCGTCAACAAACGACCATAGCTCATAATTACCTAGATGGCCAGTCCCAGAAAACCAAATGTGATGACAAAGGACTTTACTTGGCAAACGGCTTTAGTGACCCAGAAGATAAGGCCCACACTAATGGACCCTCTGTTCTTCGTCAAGGGCAATAAGATCAAGTGAAGCGTGATGACAAAAAACAACCAGCATCAGTTTGCTTGTTACCCTCAGTAAGTGAGCCGATTAGAGGTTGTTCCAAGACAGATAAAGTAGTTAGTGGGTTTTCATTATGTCCCGAATATGCGTAGTGACAGCTCCAGGTGGAGCTAAGTACGAAACCTAAGAAATCCAATACACAAATGTATCCTCATTGACCTATCGGGGAAGATTATGCTTTATCCCGGTGTCGTAGACACTTCGCTTTGAATTCAGGTAGAGCAGCTATAGCGGTTTGAGGCGATGACTTGTAGACGAGAAGAAAGCCCTGGACCTGTGCCGCACTCACCAAGCCCCCTCCCAATGATGCAGCAAACGACTTCGCCAGAGGGTGCTCTGCAACCTCCCCTTGAGGATAAAAACGCGAAAACATGCGAGCAAGTTGGTCCTCAGTGCACAGCCCTACCTCTGCCTTGAAGTCCACCCGTCCTGGTCTCACCAAAGCCGGGTCCAGGCTTGACAAAAAATGGAAATGTCAAAATTTGGACTTACTGGTCGACATAATTCGTGGTCATGAAGAGGATTCGACCGTCAGTCGAGGCCACGCCATCTAGAGCGTTGAGAAGACCACTCATAGTAAGGCCCTGCATGCCCTCATAGGCGCGACCGTCTGCAACATGACATGAGCAGAGATTATGCAGTTACATCGCTGGGCCAGGCTAATGGACTCTTCCCGATTGGGAACAGCGGCGTCAATGTCCTCAAGAAGGATAATGGATTGAAGAGGTGCGTGGGTTAGCAAATGATCCAATCTATCGGCCGACATCCCCAGTTCGTTTAGATTTAGTACACAGATGTTGTACTCAAGGTGACCTGGGTTCACAATGTTAAATAAGAAAGGTGGCACCAATACCGGCAAGAGCAGTTATAAAGCTACTTTTTCCACAGCCAGGTGGACCATAAAGAAGGTAACCACGACGATAAGGGATACCACGAGCACAGTACCAATCAGAGCTGCCTGAAGGGTTTAACAGATAATAGGCTATCATCCGCTCACTGATAAACTCTTGGATATCCGCTATAATTGATTCAGCTACGCCTTCGCTCAGAATGACGGAATTGAGAGGACGCCGAGGACGTGGATATCCAAACTGACGCCACTCAGATCCGAAGGCCTAGCAAATGTAAGGAAGAGAGGAAAATTAGGGCCACCTTGTAAATGACAGTCCATCCCACGTCTTTTGCGACAGCAGCACACCTGGCTTCCTCGAGGATGTCCCTGAAAATCTGTGCATTGAAACCCAGAGTGGTGAGAGTAACACTTTCAAAGGGTGCAACGGAGGCACCCTGAAGTGTCTGCTGCGACCTGATACGCTCCACACGAAGAATGCGCCCTTGGTGAAAGATGTAGTGAACACCAGTACTTGGTATGAATTCAAATGCTGATTTAATCCGACCAGCCTCCGTGCGCACAACACTGGTTTCGACACTGAAATGCTGCCCAGCTCCTCTTTGTAACCTACTACCCTCTGTACAGAATGCCCGCTTCGAGAGCCAGTGCATGACCCATTGATATGAGGTGTCGTAGCTGGCTATTTCCATTGTCAAAGTCAGATTTCGACGCAGCAGAACAGAGACGACTTGTCCACATCGACGTAGCAGAGCCACACCAATACCCATACCAAAAAGGCCAGCACCTGCGCTGAAGTATGGATTGTTGTTAAGGATGTCCGCGGCAAAATGCCCGAGATCATCCATCACATGAAGGTAAGAAGGGTTAACGAAAACTATGCAGTACCGACAACGAGGGCAAAAACGACCGATGAGCTGTAAGTGCACTTATGAACTAATACCCAATCAGGAGTGGGCTCTCAACCTCGAATTATTGGTATTACATGGCCTAATGCAACAAATTTGGTGTATTCTAATCCCTACTCAAATTTGGACTTGATTGTTTAGTGAGAAGTCATTTGGTTAAAGATGCTAGGGCATCGCTATTTTATAATTTTGATTTTAAAAAGCGTTGTATTTATTGGCAGTTTTAAGAAATAAAATAAAGAACGCAACTCATATTTTGTTTTATATTGTTCTTGAATGGGGAACACGTCCGGCTTTACTCAAAAGCACGTGGGCTTGCAACAAGTGAAAATACCGACTAAAACCATAAGAACATATTTTTTAAGAGCTTCAGATGGGTTGTACTGATTCGGGCCATCCATTACATATGTGCCTGCTAATTTGTATATTGGAAGGCATTTTGCTACCGCCAATACCTGAATTTTTTAGATCATTACTAAAAAACGTTACCAAATAAAATTGTATTTTATGCACAAAAGTTGTTTGATGCTCTTACCCTCATCTCTGTTTATATGCACCAAGTCAATCAGTTGAACGCCATGTTGAGCCGGTCAGTTTTCCATCTGGTAGCTGGGTTGGGTTGCGCAGGTTGGTGGCGTCTGTTGAGTGCGTTGTTGGTGCCTTATTGAGCTGCCGTGTTGCTCATTTTGTGATAGCTTGGTAGATAGCATGTGCGCGTGATTTATCTCTCCTAAATTATAGTCTCGTTATGCAGCATTGAAAAGTTTCCAAAACCAGGTGGCGCATCGGTGGTCGCTGGTTGGGGTGTGACACGCTTTTAGTGTGGTTTCGCAGGTCATGTTGATTATGCAGCAAGTGGAGTTTCTTTGACATCTGTGTCGTTGTTTATGCAAGGAATGCTTGTTTATGTGGTCTCCTGGTCTGTTTCAGTATCATATGTAGGACATGGAACCAGCTGATGCGTTTGAGATAGCGCTTCAAGGTCTCACAGCAAAGGACGATTCGCTGTCGGTGCCAGTTACCGAGCAAGTTTCACCAGATTCTGCCATAGTGGCTGACGTCAGGCCAGTCGAATCGGATAGTAATCAGGAGGATTCTGGACTTGATATCATTTCGAAAGCTCTGAAGAGCGCTGGTATTACGCCCTCAGAAGAGGCTTCCACTCCAGTTGCTACCGTAGCACCTGCGTCGGTTTACACTGTTATTGGTCCCGCAGGAAACCCACTAGTTCAGATGCCCTCGGTTACCAGCACTCAGCTGAGGGTTCCAACCATCTCCGGCGTTGCCAGCCGCCTCATTAAGCTTTCCAAGGTTTCTCGTGCTCCCACTATAATTCGGAAAAGGCAAAGTATGGAGCCAGTAACTTTTCCTCCTGTGAAGTTCATTCGCCGCGGTGACGTTCCCAACAATGGACCTGTCAAAATCGACACCGTATCGGATGTAAAATTTAGAACTCAAACGCTGGGATCCCAAAGGATTCCTATGAACTATCCCCTGAATTTCCTCTCCCAGAAGGTGAGCGCCGTCTTGTTCATTCATTCATGTTGACGCTGGTTTATCTCCCCACTGGGCCTTTTTTTCGGCGGAATGCTCTAATTTTTCTACTAAGTGCCAGTCTATGGTTTTACTGTGGGTAGAAGCTTGACCGGTATTTTCTCGTTTAGAGAGATGAGGAGATCGAGGAGGACGATTCTGATGATTTAGCTCAAGCTGAGACGTACGCCGATTATGTTCCTGCTAAGCGTAAGTTATTTTGATGCATTTGTTGCGTCATGCACGTGCCATTTTGCGTTGCTTGGAATAAGTTGCGCATGTGCTTCGTGCGATACTGATACTGACTTTTCTGGGCCGGAACGGATGAGGTCAACGTTTTTGGCAGTTTAGAGCCAGATACCTTGTAACATGTTCATGCTTGTAACCATTCGTGGGGGTTTGTTTTAATTACTTCCATGCTATGAGTCAATAATTGTCATTTAGTGGCATTGGCCCCGATTCAGTGTGACTAGACTTTCATGTCTGCTTCCTAGTTCACCTTGGCTGCAGACACCCTGACCCCATCGTTGAGTCCAGCACTCTCTCTAGCGTCTCCCCACCGGACATTCACTACGACCTACGCCTCCCTCGTGAAGTCATTGATAGTGGTCGGCTTTCGGCTCTCCAATTGGAGGCAGTTGTTTACGCGAGTCAACGCCATGAATGCATCCTGCCGAATGGGCAGCGGGCTGGCTTTTTGATCGGTAAAGTTTTGCCCATTACCTTAAGCCCTAAGTTACTCTAAAACATTTACATCTTTGCCACGCAATTATTGTGATTAAGATTTGGCTCTCCATAGTCTGGGTTTAATTGGTTCAGCGGGTCATGGTGCACGACACGGCATGCTTGTCATGGGGTAGAGGTTTAGACCCGTCACTGCGTCAAAACCTAGTGGTTAAGGAAGGCACAAAATCAACTTATTTTTCACAGGTGATGGTGCTGGTGTTGGTAAAGGTCGAACTATCGCTGCCATTATCTACGAAAATTACATGCAGCATCGGAAGAAGGCTATTTGGCTATCGGTTTCTAACGATTTGCGTGTTGATGCCGAGCGTGATCTCCGTGATGTTGGCCTTACGAAGCTTGAAGTTCATTCGCTTAATAAGGTGGGTCAGCAGTCTGATGTCGCTTGGCTTTTGCATGTAAATTGGCAGGCAGAATCGAATTTTCTCCTTTGACTTACAGTTTCGGTATGCGAAGATTTCTGGCAAGTTGAATGGAAGTGTGAAAAAAGGGGTTCTTTTTTCCACCTACTCTTCCCTTATTGGCGAAAGTCAGGGTGGCGCGAAGGCCAAGTATAAGACACGTCTCAAGCAAATTGTTCACTGGTGTGGGAAGGATTTTGACGGCGTGGTGAGCATATGTCGTTCAACCCTTGCATATTATTTTTCAATATTACTATTTTTGATACTCTGCTTAGATTGTATTCGATGAATGTCATCGAGCCAAAAATCTTACTCCCAGTGGTTCACAGAAGCCTACCAAAACGGGTTTGACTGTGTTGGAGCTTCAGAATCGCTTGCCGAATGCTCGAATCGTCTACGCCTCGGCTACTGGCGCAACAGAGCCACGAAACATGGCCTATATGACGCGGCTCGGTCTCTGGGGCGGGGGTACCCCATTTAAGGAATTTAATTCCTTCATTCAGTTCATCGAACGTCGGGGTGTGGGTGGCATGGAGCTTGTCGCCATGGACATGAAACTCAGAGGGATGTATATAGCGCGTCAATTAAGTTTCCATGGTGTCAAGTTTACGATCAGACCCGTCCAGATTGAGTACGTGATGCTAAATGGCCAGTCCTTCGTTAATGTATATAACCAATCTGCAGACTTGGTTAGTTTCCTTTTCGTTTCATTCCTTCATGGTGCGGTATGAAGTAGTTTAAATTTCGAGATTCCTTGCCTCATTTAGTGGGTTCGTGCTTACGAATACTTCTCAGAAGCCGCTCGGCTAATCAATGCATCTGACAAGTACCGCAAAACCATGTGGGGTCAATTTTGGTCTGCGCATCAGCGTTTCTTTAAGTACCTCTGCATAGCAGCCAAGGTTGACGCCTGTGTTGAATTGTGCAAAATGGCGCTCAATGCCGAGAAGGTGATCTCCCGTCAATATCCCCTCCGTATCTTTGCTGAACTTTTGACAAATTCCTGGTTTTATCCTGCAGTGCGTGGTCATCGGTCTTCAATCAACTGGTGAGGCAAAAACGCTCGAACAAGTGGAGGAATTTGGAACAGACCTAGGGGAATTCGTTTCTACAGCTAAGTGAGTTATCTAATTTTCTGCAATTAATTTCTGGTTGATTCTGGCTACATGTGTTTAAATGCTGTTGACTTTTTGTTTCAGGGGAGTTCTACAATCGTTGGTTGAAAGATATTTCCCAACAGCATCAAACCTAGAGAATTTTACAGCCCGTGGTGAAAAGCTTACCATTGCTGGTGATCGCTCATCTTCAACTACCCTTACTCGAGCTGGCAGAGCTGTTGCTGGAGGCAAGGGCAGTGGACTCGGTTTGAAAGACATCCTTGGTGAAAAAGCCTTTGCTAAATTGATTGCTGGTGGATCTCTTACCGGTTACGACGATGATGAATCGGATAAGGGTAACTTGGGAAATGCTGCTGCGGGGAACAAAAAGGGCGATTCAGATGACGCTGATTCCGATGACGATGATGATGACGATGATGAATGGGGTAACGAATCGGAGAGTCATTCGAAAGTTGACGGCGATGGCACGTCTTCGGAGTATTATGACTCTGACCTCGAAATAAGCAACAGTAACCGGAGCGGTATGAAGAGAACGAAGAAACCGCGAATTGGCACTGCAAGTAAACGAAAGCAGGTGTATGAGAGTGACGCTGCGGCGGACTCTGATGACGACGACATGGACTACGATGCCATGTGCGACACCTTCTTTGCTCGCCAGAGGGAGAAGGTGGCAAGGCAGAATGATTCTCTCTGGGCAGATGAGTCGACACGCAACCTCTCCGCCAAATATTTCTTGGATTCCAAGTCGCAAGACGGCATGCTAACTTCCAACGGCAACATTTCTTTGGAGGAGGCGCGAAAAAAATGCGATGGAATGAAGGAACTCCTTCTGGGACATATTGAAAGAATCGGCAGGTATCTTCCTCCCTCGTCTCTGGATGAGCTGATTGAAAAGTTGGGTGGTCCATCAAGGGTGGCCGAAATGACTGGTCGTCGCGGTCGTGTGGTCATGAACGATTCTGGTCGTGCTCTTTACGAATCCCGACGTGAGGGTGATTGTGCGATGGAGACCATTAATCTGATGGAGAAACAGCGCTTCATGGATGGAGAAAAATTGATTGCCATAGTATCGGAGGCTGCCTCCTCCGGCATTTCGCTCCAGGCTGATCGTCGCGCGAAGAATCAACGACGCCGTGTTCACATCACTCTTGAGCTCCCCTGGTCCGCTGATCGTGCGATTCAACAATTTGGCCGAACGCATCGTTCTAACCAGGTCAGCTCGCCTGAATATATCTTCCTCATTTCTGATCTGGCAGGAGAACAACGTTTTGCATCAACTGTGGCTAAGCGCCTCGAATCTCTCGGAGCTTTGACTCATGGCGATCGTCGAGCCACGGAGACTCGCGATCTCTCCCGTTTTAACATTGACACGAAGCTTGGTCGCGAGGCTCTTGATATCGTCCTCAAGACATGCATTTGGGGGGAGGAGGGGATTATCAAACCACCAGCAGATTATCGTTCAGAAGATCCGATCATCACAGATACCAAGTCTCTGGAGTCCCTTCCACCGGCGTTGCGACCTTATTACCAATTCCTGTCAGACGTTAAGTCGGGGTTGCAAGGTGTAGGGTTTCTCAATGGACGAACACGAGACAAAGACAGTCGTCATATGGTGAAGTTTCTCAATCGGATTCTTGGACTCCACGTACATACTCAGAACGCGTTCTTTCAATATTTTTCTGATACTCTGGAAGAACTAGTGCGAAGAGCGAAGCGCGGCAACCGTCTGGATTTAGGCATTATGGATTTAGGTAGGGGAGGGACGCCTGATCGGACGCCTTAGTTCCTATTTTTCAGTCCTCGGATGAATATCATTTACTGTTTTATTGCAGGCACTACCGGTCAGAACTTAGAGATTGTCTGGACTCAAAAATTTGATACGCGTTTCCTGTCTGATTCCACTCAAGTGTGCCTGCACAAAGTCACCACTCAACGAGGTGTCAGCTGGGCCTCTGCTATGGAGCTTTACGCGCAGCACGACGGTGATGAGGATGGTTTCTACCTTCCAAAGCAGACCACGGTGTCTCGAGTGATGCCTTTGCTAGCCTTTTGCCTACGCAACAAATTTGGGGATGATGGGGATAGGGAGAGAAGGAAGATGAAGCGTCTTTATCGGGTGTATAGACCGAACACGGGGATGCAGTCTGAGCCTATGGAGTACGGTAAGCTGACAGAACAGTATGTCAAAGTTTCCAATCCCACCGACTGCCAAGAACATTGGTCCACTATCTACGACGAGTCTGCCACTAAGTGTATCCACCTTATTCAACGCAATCACTGCAATCGTCTTAGTGTACGTAATCCTCAGGTTTGTAAACATTCGTAATTTTATGACACATTGGGAGTACTAGGTTAACCGGTAATATAGTACTTTTCTCCCTCTCTTTAAGCTTTGAGCTCATTCCAAATTGATACGAATCGTATCCAGCTCCTTTTATGCTATAGTATTGCTGGTGCTAGATTCTCAATCAGAAATAGGTTTAAATTGAGAGCTGAGTTATTGTGTCGTGTACCAACGGTGAAATGGAGGTGTCTCACTACTGACAGGGACGATCAGGCATTTGTGAGGTCGGTCTCCGGGAGCGCACCTATTATGTACTTAGTGGATCTGTCATGAACGTATGGACGCATGTGGAGCGAGTACTGACGAACCGGGTCGGTAATTCTCCGTCGATGCAAGTGGTCCGCCTGAAACCGAAGGATGGAAAGCGAATTGTAGGAGTGCTCATCCCTCAAGATGGTGTAGAGGCCGTCCTTGAATGCCTTAATGCTCTTCAATCCAATCCAGATGGCATTCACATCCAACCAGGTCCTTTATCCTCTGGCTCTTCCCAACCAATTCAACAAGTCAAAAGTATTTCGCGATCTTCCTTGTCCCCTCTTGTCAGCACCGGGCAGCCATCTATCGTGATAGGCAAGCCTCCTGTGAGGTTCACCGTTGCTAACTCTACTAACGTTAATCACACCTCCATGACGCGTAACCCTACACGCAATTTCGGGAGCATCACAACCGGTGTCGCTCCTTCCGAAGTTCCCGCTTTTCTTTCCCCTCGTATGTCTTTCACTGGTCTTCATCGGACTCAGAGTCGATTCCCACTGGCCTCCCGTTCCCAATCCCGACTCGAGGCCGCTTTCCAGACTCAGCCCACTTCACAGCCACGTAATGCTGCGTCGCAGCGCGTTTTCACCGCCACCAACGGACTATCACCACAGTCATTCTCCTCACAGGGATTTGCTAACCCACGAGGTTCGCAACCGCCTCGTCCATCTTCCACTAGGATTGCTGCTCCTCGTACGGGAAGGATTAACTGGGTCAGCCAAGACAATGGCTACTATGTCAACAATCCTGTCGTGCAAGGCGTTCTTCAGCCTCGTTTACCATCACAACAGCAGCTGGTGCAATTGCAACAGGTTTATTGCCAACCGCAACGGCAGCAGCCACCACAACAACAATCTCGTCAATTCCCTCAAGTATCCTCAACACTTGTACCTGCCTCCAATCCTAATAGCTCTGCTAATCCGCCAGTTCGGGCGGCTGTCGCCCAGCCTACACAGAAACCCTTTAAAATGAAATTTGTTTGGAAGGGTGGTAATTAACCAACGACCGCCTCCTGTATATTATTCCCTTCCTCTGTTAAAAAACTTGTGCTCAACGGCTTTGCTATTATTTCCCCAGTCTTATTTTTTGTTACACTAGTCAGTGTGTGCGTGTGCACCATTCTATGGACTGGAAGCGTTGGCAGAACCAGGCTTGGTTGTGTGCCACTGAATGGTGCTTCAGGGAGAGGTCCTGATCGCTGCATTTGTCTCAACTCCCGTTCCTCTTCCCTTGGTTCCCTTTCTATCCATATCCCTGTGCTCGATAAGAGCACTTGTGTAGACTGTATTTGCAGAAGCTGTTGCATAACTCGTGATGTACATCAGTCTTTCTTTGTGAACGCAGATTACCGTTTGAGACGTAGTATGGGAGAATGGTGAAGTAGGAGAGAGTCTGTTCTCCCCTGTCCTCTCTTACATGTCGATGCGGCTGCGCTCGCGCCTACTTTTTTATATTGTGTTATGTACTAGCAACGACATTTGTCATTAAAAGTATCCGAATGAGACTGGTTTTGCAGTTGGATTCCCAAACTGGGGTTGACGAGATGGTGCTCATTAAAGGTTGGCCTGTGACCTGGCAAACGTGTGTGTCCTTTGGAAGACATTCGCAGAAACTTCCTTAGGGACATAAGTGACTTGAAACGGTGCTGTGGTTGGCAAGGTGTAGGTGGGTTTTTGTGTTAGAGATTTCACAGTTGCCTTAAAATCAGTTCATTGAAACAATTGACTTTTCAGAGGTGTCTTAGAGATCAGGTCGTGCATTCGACTTTCCTCAGGTCGATTAGTTGTCTGATGGCCTTGGACGTCAAGACTGTTGGATCCTGGTCTGACTCTTAGTTACTCTTGTGCACATGTGGTCGATGAATTCAAAACGGACAAATTGGTGGTCCGTTGTTTTGATAATATGTGTGAGTAGATCTCTGTTAGTTGTCCTTCTTTTTAATAGTTTCTCGGTAATATTAGTAGTTCTTTGGACCTTGGGGAATGTTCAAGGTGCTGGGAGAAAACTGCAAATCATATTTCCATCACCTATTCATAGATGTTCAAACTGGCTTGCGTACTCAAAGTGATTGATCTACTTCGGTAGTCTAAGTTGGAGATGTTTTTGGAACAATGATAAGATTGTCTTGGTCGGAGAAGCGACGTCAAACATCAACCCACTGTACTTTTGTTGTTAAGTGAAAGGAGTGGGATATGCGTCGTGCCTTGTTGCAGTGTTCAAGTTGGCTTAGAGGTTAAACGGCGTCATAGTCCCAAGGCAGTGTTGCCAATGTAATGGAGGTCTGGGAGGATGTTGGTTTGCTTGAGAGGCTAGATAGCCCTGATGACAATGCAAAGTCCGTGTCTTAGAGGCCTGTGAAACCGAACAAGCGAT